AAAGCTAATCAAAAGCAAAAGAAACAGTGGACAGATAATGTCAACTTAATATGCTGTAAACTCCAGTGCTTGGCATTTTAATGGCATGACACCACTCAAGATAAGAAGATGAAAGCACGTGATTCAAAACCTCTGAATTTCCCAATATGAAGCTCTCATATTCTCAAATCATTCTCAGAATGACACCATAAAAAAATTATTATTTTTCAAGATAAGACCTTCAAAGCTCGTAGATCTTATAGACCAAAGCCATACATGTCTCAAATTTTCTTATAGCAACATTAAACTCAGTAAAGTAAAATTACAAGAATCGAGGAATGGAAAAGAACAGAAGAAGGGGAAGGAGTTACTCAAGAGAATAACAGGTTTCCAAAAGGCTCAAACACATAAAACAGAGACCACCAAATGAAGCTACAGAGCTCCAAAATCGCAAAGAGACGCACAACCCAAAATTTTGGCAATCTTCTCTTACACCAAAGCTTCAACAACACCTTTCTCCTTTCTTCTCCTCCCCAAAATTTTAACAACCTCTTCTTCTCTCTCAGGCTTTACCCAAGAGAAACAAAACTCCAAAAATATTTTAAGCATACACACAGGATGAACTAACCAGAGAAAAAAAAAATGGCAGCACCTCCCCCTCTCCAGAAATTTCAGCCATCCCTAAAACCCTTTCCCAAGTGGGGTTTTTATAGCAGAAGAGGGAGGAGGAAGAATACCTGAACTCACCTGGGGGGTGAGCCGAGACTGAGGAGGACGGAAGAAGCGACAAGAATCGCAGAGGCGTGGGAGAGGCGAGCAGAAAGCCGAAGCGCGACAGGGAGTAGGTGGAAGCCTTACCAAAGCTCGGGGGAGGGGATCTCAGGCCGATCCTTCGTGAGGAAGAGGTGGGCCGCTCGGTCGGGTTTCACAAACGGGAAGGGGGACGGTCTGCTCGACCGGGCTCGCAAGCGGGAAAGATTAGGGGCGAGAGGCGTGAGCGAAGGTTAGGGAATTAATAAGGTTTTCTTTTACTTTTTTTATTTTACAATATCTAATATTTAAAATTATCCAATTCGTACGATATTCATCCGTGCACGGAACCACATCAAAATGGGTGTCCTCCCTAGGTAATTCCGACGTTTTGGACGTGCCGACACAATTTGTTTTGTCATCGGGGTCGTTCGGGTAACCTCGTCGACCATCAGGTTAAAAAAACATGTCAACTTTAGTTTTTCGTCGAAATTTCGGGTCGCAATCGATCGTTTCAAAATTTTATTTTAGCTTTTGACAAATAACGGCGCAGACGATGCGAATTGTGGTAATCAAATGTGTTGATTCTCCGAATTGCGAAGTTTGCCCGCACGAATGTGCAAATTGTGCATAAGACAGTTCTAGGGCTTGATGATCCTATAGGGACTCTTTTTGAGTTTCCTCATGTTATTTCAACCTCTTAAGTGCTAGAGACCGATACCGCACATACGAAACTCCAAAAGGGTAGAGAACTATGTTAGATTTCTAAAATGAGGCTGGTCCCATTTCTAAGGCTCTAAGATAGTCAAAGGGAGAACCCTAACGCTAGATCCTAAACCCTAAGAATAAAACTAAACCTCACTAAAAATGAGGTCAACAATACTGTACCCCAAATCGTTGTGTCCTGTCTTCTACTAGAATCACTCCTACAGAAGGGATTCATGTGTTCTTCTTGCTCTCCACGGATTTCACTATTATGCTCGACGGTGATCTTGCTCTGTGTTTTCCGATGTATCACTTGGCTAAGTAGTCGTCGTATATCATCCATGGTGGATTCTTGATCAGATTTTGACAATTGTTTCCTCGGAAGCGTGGTTAGGGTATTGGATATAGGTAAAAGGAGGTGTTAGGGTGGAGGGAGATAAAAAATTTTGTGGGGTGATATTGGGGATGCTCAAAACCCTAGGATAGGAGTACCGTTAGACTAGTTTTGATACCAAATGATACCAAGTTTACCCAAACAACAATGAGAAATGCAGATTTTATTACTGAACTCAAATAAAGATTACAACCAAAGTATCAGAAATAGGAAATGACAAAAGACACAACAAAACTCAAACTAAGGCGTAGGTCGTGTATGGTGGTGTTGTGGCTTAAGGGGGACACGGTAGGTCTGAGGGGTTGGATGGTCGAACGTCCACAAGATAGGGGTGGGTTGGAAGGTAGATGGTGGAGGAATTGCTCCAATAGCGACTACAATAATAGTTGCGAGAGGGTGGCAGATGTTTCGAAGGGGTCCCAGTAGGTGGTAGGTTTCTGAAAGGTGTTAGAAGCAATGTGGTAGGTGGCTTGAAGGCGTCAACAGCTGGGTAGGAGGGACTGGAAGAAACAAATACTCGGTGGGACGAGGTTGAGTGGGAGGCTACTACAAAAAAACAACAAAACAATAGTTTTTTGTTGGTTGCAGCAAATACGACGACGATGAAGGAAAGGTTGTGGAGGATAGGAGAGTCGAGGATAATTACTACCTTGGAATCATAGATAGCCGGAGCACCACTTTCCCCTGGATACATCCTTAGAATGGAAGACTTGGAGATGCTGATAGCTTTCCTAACAGAAAATACTTGAAAAATTTACTAAAACACAAGAAATAAGATATATAATACTATGGTAACTAAGGAGTGGCCCCCATCGGGTGAGCGACAACCCCAAGAAAATAGGAGGGCCAGTTGACCCCTCAATTGTTTAGACCGAGCATTGTGGACCGTACCTGACGCGGTTTCGCTTTGACGTTTGCGGCATGTTCTTTCTTCCATTTAATTCACCAGAGATTTTTTTGAAAAATATTAACTAATTGGGTGCTCTATAGATATATAATTCATCGGAAATATCATTAATTTAAATTACAATAACTTAAGAAAAAGTATACAATATGCAATCTAATTATCACATATAAGCTTTAAAGAAATCATATAACTATGCTTTTCATTTCAATAGTAGTTATGATCATAGAAATTGTTAAACAATTGGATTTTTAGCCCTATTGGAATCTTAGAATGATCGTTCAAAAAGGGAGGATTTTGGCTCTCGAAGCATATACATCTAGATCATGCATGTTCGATTGCAGACATGAGATCAACTTGAAGATATCCTACATTCTTATGAGGCAACTCTGTGATTTGGTTAAATAAAAAATAAAATGTGGTAGCTCAATTTAGCGTATAATCCAAATTTTGATTTATGGTTCTGGAAATCTGTGAATTGCTATCCGCAAAATTATTCTTAAAAATTTAATGGTTGAATGACAAGATCTTACGAACTTCTATTATGATAACAATTCAACTATCAATATTGCATATAATGCACAAAATATGATTGTACTTAACACTTTGAAGTTGAGAAATATTTTATGACGAGAAACTTGTGGCTTAATTTGTGCTTTGTTACTAATCAGAGGTGGACAACTTTTAGACAGTCACTAAAGGATTATTAGGGATAAATTTAAATAATTATTATTTAAGCTTAGAATAGATAACATTCATTTATTCATTTGAGGGGGAGCGTGGACCCTTGAGAAAGCGTCTCTAGACTCGCACCTTGGACTCTGCTTGCATAGGCTTGCTGTTTCATCACTCTTCGATGCCAGCACCCTGTTCTATGAGGTCTCTAAGGCCATGTCGCCAATTCGTGAGAGCTACACAATTGTGCAGGGGAACTTCATGGGTTGTCCACCTATTATAATTATTTCATGGTTAATTTGTATTTCAAAATTTTCTCACGTATTCGAATAAAACCCACTTAGCATTTGTCCAATAACTCTCAAATCCGAGTCTTCTTCACTCATAGTCTCGTGCATAATTGTATGCCCATGAGTGCTTACATAATTCCATATTGAGTTACAACGCCACATATTTTAGCTCTTCAAACTTTCAAACTTTTAAAATCATTAACTTCACATTCTTAAACTTCATTGCTATTGTATTCCTCATAAACTTTCCGCCCTATTACCAATTGTTAGCAAAAATGCTTAACTTTTATATGGAAACATTAATTAGGAGCTAATACAATGAATGAATAAAGCAATCATAAAGAGATCAACTTATATGTGACTCAATTTAAATAAAGCCCAAGTTCAAAGAAGATAAACGGAACTTTGATCCATTAAATGTAAGTCACAAATAGTGTACAAGATAATGACACTTACAATCCTTTCTCAAAATCTTAAGTAGACCCATTCTTTAACACAAATGAGAAGCTCTACATCTATCACGACTAAAAAAAGAGAAGTAACTTAAGAGGGATGATGAAAAAGGATGATTAAACAAATACCAAGAAATTACCTACTCTTTATCTTTCTCAGTAGGGTACCATTATACCCCAGTGCGTTTGGCATGAATTTTCTAGTGTCATTTCTTGCAGTTCTTTTTCTTTCTTCTTCTCTCTTCTTTGAAGTCATCTTTCCATTCTCAACTCCAACCAATTTCCAGTCACTAGAGTCACGCCCAAGTCACAAGACTCCCTACCACCCATGCAAAGAAGGCCTAGTTATAGAGATTGATGGTGGTAGGTGTTAATTTAAAATAATGTTAGAACTTGAACAAAAAATTAGGCATAATCACAAATTATCCTAATGGGCTTTCAAATCACATTTTTATCCTGAAATAAATAATTTTTTTTATTTAAAAAAAAACTATTTTAATTTTGCCTTGTCCTAACAAAGTATACCCCCAAATTTTCAACATTATGGTACTAAATGATACTCAACTCATTATGTGTCCTCGGATAAAAATTGTGGTGTCTTAGATTTCTGTCCTTTGTTTAGACTTTAGATTATTATTCGAACTTCAGACCTAAAAATCAATTAGGAGCTCCTGATACAAAATTTTCTCCACTTCCTCATTTTTTTAGTATGCTTGTTGGATTTTAGTTTGGAATCTGTTACTTTTGTTAAGAAATCTACTAATTGAATAACTTCTCCGAAGTGGGTTATTTTCTACTTTATTCTACTGATGCCATTTTTCATGTCTCTTTTTTTTAATGACTCATCTCAGATTTCTATTGGTTATTTTCTTACCGACTTTGGGATGATCTTGTGGTATTTTCCTGCTTTAGGTGGCATGGAATATGTAAGTATCTCTGTTGATTCCTAAATTGGATTCTAATTTTTTTTTGTTTTTCCCGTCATAATATATCTGCAATCTTTTTCCGCAGGTCTTGCATCATGTGCTATCCATGTATGCAATAATTCTATCTTTGATAAGCGGGCAAGCACAATATTACATTCTTATGATTTTGTTTTCAGAAATAACGACTCCCTTTGTGAATCTAAGATGGTATGGTTTTGGAAGTTCATTGACTTATTTTTGTTTGGTTTGTCCTACTAAACATTTAATGGATATAGGTACTTGGATGTCTATGGAAAGAAAAGTTCTATGCTTTACATTTGCAACGGTGTAGCTTTGTTTCTTGGCTGGCTGGTATGAGAAATTCTATCTTTTAGGAAGTTTTATACTTGAAATATTTTGCTTTCATGTTTGTTTATTATGGAGGGATAGTTGAAGATGGAATAATAAAGGCGAACTTCGTTGGTTAAATGGGATGGATGATGGGCAATGCAAGTTTCAGTTTTTTTTTTTAATTTGCATCTCAACCATTATGATTTTTTTTTTTTGTCATAAGTAGAGCATTAGTGATGTACAACAAAGTATTTTTAGAATATTCAAATATTTTATATTATTTTTGGATTTTTTTAAGTTTATTGTATTTAATTGTTAATATTATTGAAGAATGGTGGAGAAAAAATGTATTCTCTTATTTCTTGATTTTCAAATTACAACTTTTCTCTCCTTATAATAATAAGTAAAGATTAGGTCAAACTTATTCCTACCATTACAACATACCAAAGACACACAACAAACAACAAAAACAAAGAAATACAACATAATAAGAAAGGGATAAATGAGAATAAATTTAATATAGGGAACTTAGAATTCCACACTTCGCCACAAGTTGGGTCATAGATGATGTAAAGATCAAGCGTGGTATTCAAATCAGTGAAGGTGCCTAGAGGTAGAGATTTAGTGAAGACATTAGTTAGAATGTAGATCAAGTGAATAATGTCTTCATTGACTTTCTTAGAGATAAAATGTCTATCAATCTCAATATGCTTGGCCCTGTAATGATATAGAAAATTATTTGTAATACTAATGACAACTTGACTTTCAAAGAACATTCTAATGGGATTGACCGTGGAGTATCACAACTCATTTAGTAATCTTTGTATTCACATTCCTTCACAAATTTCCAAAATGAGTGCTCGATACTCAGATTCTTCGCTACTTCTGGAGACCACTGTTTGTTTCTTACTTCTTGATATGATAAGATATCCCCATATATCTAGAGATGGATCTTCTGTTCGTGAGTTCTCCTGCCCAACTAGCATCAATGTAAATTTCTATTTCAATGTTGTCAGATTTCTTAAATAATAACTCTATGTGGGGTCTTCTTAAGAAATCTTAATATTCTGTAAACCATTGATCAAATATTCTTAATTTAGACTATTCATGTGTTGACTCATTATGCCGGCAGAGTAAGCGATATTAAACCTAGTGTGATAAGTAGATATGCTAACCCACTAATCTTTGGTATCTGTCTTTTTTCATTGGCATCTTTTCACCTCATGGCTAACTTTTTGTTGAAATCCATAAGAGTCTCAGCATGTTTGCACCCCAACATTTTTGTTTCTCTTAATAAGTTTAAAATGTACTTTCTTTGGGATATCACGATACTCATCTTAGACCTGACATCTTCCATGCCATAAAGTATCTCATTGCTCTTAGATTCTTAATTTTAAATTTAGTAGTAGAACCTCTTTAATCTTTTCAGTTTATTTTTGATCATCACCTGTCAGGATCATATCATCTACATAAACAGTGAATATAACTTTCTTACCAAATGTGTATGCTTTATGAACAACATATGATTTGTTTGGCATTGGATGTACACATTAGATTTTTATAGTCATGGTAAACTTGTCGAACTAAGATTTTGGAGATTATTTAAGTTCATAAAGTGATTTTCTTAATTAACAAATTTGATGTTTATTTGAGTCATTTTCTAGTCTTATTAGGATCTCCATATACACTTATTCCTCAAGGTCTCAATTCAAAAACACATTTTTAATATCAAGTTGATGTAGTTCCCACTCATTGCTCACTGCCAAGGAAAGAACTCTTACAGTGTTTAACTTGACCACTGGAGCAAATGCTCTTGATAGTCTCTCTTAAGAATGAATGAAACCTTTGGCCACCGATCTTGCCTTGAACCTCTCAATGCTCTTATCTGCTTTGTACTTGACATTGAATACTCATTTGCATCAAACGAGTCTTTTATCTGGAGAAAACTTTGTAAGGGCCCAAGTGCCATTTAGATCAAGTGATTGGATTGCTTTTTTAACGGCCTTTTTTTCATTTTGAACTATGATGAAATGCTTCATGAATAAATTTGGGTATTTGCACACTATCATGATTATATTAGAATGCTTTCTAAGTTGATGATAACTTTCTATAGGCAACATAATCTTAAATGGAATAATTTGTGTAACTTTTCGTGTCTTCTCCATTAAATTTTACCTCTCTTAAAGCTCAGAGATATGTGAATTCAGGTTTGGTTGTGAACAGTCTCGTGGATGCGTGTTGTCTTGATCCTGCTTGGTGGATTTCTTTCTCATCGTATACACACAAAGTTCCTTATTGTCAATCTCAGGATGGATGTTTTCAACTGAGGGAATTTTGGAGACAGGATGGTTAGAGGGAAGGAGAATAAGTCCTGATGACTCTAGAGCAGTGTGAGTATCTAGAGTAGTGTCTCAAATCTAGTATTCACTCGTACTCTCCTTCTGAAGATCAGATTTGAGGCTGTAGGGCTGGTTTTGCAAAGAGAATGTAACATCCATGGAGTTATAATTTTTTTTATAATGGAAGAATAACACTTGTACTTTTTTTATTTTTAATGGAAGAATAACACTTGTACTTTTTTTTGTTATAAACATATTCAAGAAAGATATATTTGATGAATTTTGAGTCAAACTTTGTGATGTTTGGTTAGTGAATTTGAATAAAAGAGATACAACCAAATACTTTTAGGAAGATTGAATGAGAACATGATGGTATTTTCCAACACAATATTGAGAGGGGTTTTGAATCTAAGGACCCTACTTGGTATTCTATTAATAAGGTAAGCGGTTGTGAGCACATCTCTCAAAATTTTTTTGGAATATAGTGAAACAACATTATAGATGTAGATACCTCAAGGAGATGTCTATTCTTCCTCTCAGCTATTTCATTTTGTTATGGAGTTTCAACATAGGAACTCACATGAATGATATTGTTCTTTGCAAGGTAGGGTCCAAGGATAGAGTCAAAGTATTCCTTTGCATTATCAGTTTTGAGAATCTGAATTTTACATTAGAATTGAGTGAAAATAATGTTATGGAATGATTGAAAGATTTGTGTATTTTTGTATTTTTTCTTTATGAGAAATATCCAACTGGTTCTAGTGTGGTCATCAATAAAGGAGAAACTATTTGAATCTATTGGCGATTTTCAATTTTGATGGTCCAAAATGTCACCATGAATGATAGAGAAAAGATGAGGGTTTGTATTGAAACATATGAATGACAAGGCAAGTATATTTAGCCAATTGGCATGTTTGATACTGATAAAATTCTGCTTTTTTAATAAAGAGTTGAAAATATAATTTTGTAATATAATGGATAGTAGGATGATCCAGACGACATTGTCATAATAAAACTCGAATTTCAAAAAACTCAGACACAACAAACTCATGAAAATGATAAGTGGATAGTGGATAAGATACTTGTGTGTTGAGAGAAAAACTTTCCTTAAGTAGGTATAGACTTGATGTAATTTAAAACTGCCAATCACCTTCTCCGAATCTAACACCCGAAATTCACAAAAATTAGATTGAAATTTAGTAACATAGTTCAAGTAATGGGTAAGCTTGCTAATCAAAAGTAAGTTGTAATGTAATTGGGGAACATATAACACAGAAGAGAGCTGAATATTCTTGGAGTCTTTCACTTTTTTCCCAATAATCCTGAAGTGAGATCCATCGACAAGTTTAACAAATTTGTTGTTGGTGAACTCTTTGTATTTTGTGTGAGCATGAATATCTCCAATCATGTAATCAGAAGCATCTCAATCTATCATCCAAGTTCAAAATTTTTCATTGTTAGCTAGATAAGAGGATGACATGATACCTTGGTATATCATCAAGCTGGTAAGCCGCTCAGTTGTGCTTGAAAGAAGATTCCTCAACATATCCAACAGTTTCTTAATGAAGGGGTGAGAGTTGGTCGACCCTCCAAATGAAGTAGCAACATGGGCCTTACTGTCTTGGTCTTTCCTCCATTGTTTAAGTTTCTCAATTTGGAAGTTTTTCATATAATTTTCAACACTTGTATTTTGTTTGACCAAGTTTCTTGTAATGTTCTTGATACAATTCAAATTTACATTCTTTTTTTGCTTTAACCCTCATTTTTTTCATTATTTATCATAATTCTATGCTTGCGAAAGGCTTTTGTAATGTTTACAGGATATAAGTGTGGAGCATAAGTTGGGGAGCAAAAGTAGGCAATTAGACGAAGTAACCACGACGCCCTCCCCACTAGAAGCAACGTGCTTGCGCCCAAAACCGCATGCTCGCGCCATTCCAGACCGGCATGTACACACTAAAACCCACTGCGCCTGCGCCTACTTCCAGAGCCTATGCTGCGTCTGTGCCTCTTCCCAATGCGCTCGCATTTCGACACAGTTTGACAAATTTGGCATGATTTCTTGCTATTTTGGTGCCCTTAGTACACACTCACACACCCACACGTGTGCGTGTGTGTATCTGCGCGCATATATATATATGTATGTATGTATATTAGTTCATATAATATATATATATAAATACACACATATATATATGAACTAATATACATACATACATATATATATATATGTGTGCGCGTGTGTGTATAAGATGTCAAATAAGACTTAGGGTAACTTCTGGTTGAGGATTGGCTATTTTTTTGAAGGTTTGGAGAGAGTTTTAGGTATTCTAAATCAGGCTCTAGGGTTTCTCTTCCTTTTTCTTTGGGGGAGAAATTCACAGGGTCTGTGCCTCTTCCCAAAGCTCCCGCACTCCGACCCACAATTTGACAAAACTGGCACAATTTCTTGCTATTTTGGTGCCTTAAGTACACACACGTGTGTGTGAGTATGCGCGAGCGCACTCACATATATATTATATATGTATATATATATGTATATCTGTATATATATATATATATATATATATATATAATCAAAAAGCCGTAGGACTAATATATTAAAGAAGAAAGGTACATATAAATTGTATGAGGGCCTAAAAGAAGATCCAACTCACGCAATACAACACACAAAAGCTCTAT